TTGAGAGCAGACTCTGTCTTAGAATGTACTAACACAATTAGCAGCTTGCAAGTTTCACACGTAGAGGGAGAGAAACAGTACCAAAAACCAAGAGACCTCTTAATTAGTAATACCCTGGAATTTAAACTATGGGGAATCAAACTCATTTGTGATTTTAATACAGAACTTCTTTAATATGATCCAACAGCTGTAGGGGTCTATTGAAACAGGAGTGGAAAAAAATAGCATATTGAGATACAAGGCCCCAAGATGTCTGTAGTATTCTGCTTCTTAAGGCAATTTTCTAAAGAAGTATCTTTGTCTAACCACACACTGTTTCTGCAACATTTATGATCAGCAGATCTTTCTTTGGCAACTTTTTAGCACACAAGTACTCCTTGGGAATATCTCCTTTAATTTCTCATTGCTAGCATGTTTTAGTCCTTCCTTTCTGTGGGTTAGGACTTCACACATGACCATTCTTATAAGGATTACTCCTTTCTCACCCATGTTCTAAAGTCTTTCACTTGAAAAAAGTTAGCACTTAAGGATTCTGCCCTAGCACCTGAAATTCATTATTATCTCTTGTGTGTCCAACATGGGGAAGGGGAAAAGATATTTTACTTGTTGCATTGCAGTCCCTTTTTTGGAGGAGAAGACTTTTTTGTTAAACTTTTCAACTAAAGAAAGCATTATTATCCTGTTTATGTAAGTGACCTAAAATTATATTTGCTGTCTGTCCCATGGATGTTTATTGCCCTTCTGTCAGGAATTTTCTGAAGTATTAGCTGTTTTGTTTTGGTTTTTTTTGTTATCTGAATGGGTTTGTTTCACAAACCTAAAGCTTCTGGCTTCTCTCCCCCTGCTTCTGCTGCATATTATAGAAACAGCCTTTCATCTATTGATGTGTTACCAACAACTCTCTCAACAACAGCCAGGCTCTGGTTGGCTTCAGCCAATTCTTGTTTCCATAGCAACATAACTAATTTTCCATCCTGTAGTTCCAGTTTTGAAAGGAAATGCATAATAGTCAAACAAATGAGAATCCACATTTCATGGTCAGTTTAGAACACCACCTCCCTGTTTTTATTTGACTACAGATCTAAGAGAATGTTTATCTCTTTTGTCTACTTAAATGGATAGAGAAATTACTTAGCAACTGTGCTTTACAAACACCAGAGGAAACAAAGAGGAGAATACTCAGTGTTGCAGCATGTTACAGAGCATATTGTACCATCAGAATTATGAGAATGTTTGCACATTTTTTTCCTCACGTGGCACTGAGAGAGGGTCAGTTTGATTAAATAACTAGTACAAGATCCCCAAGGACTAGATCTTTGTTTGTATAGTTGTTTGACTGTACACAGAAGTTTGTGGTTTCATGGGACTCCTGCATTCTAACTGATATTCAGAAAGCAATGCATATCTTAGCTAAGAAGAGTATTTATCTCATAAGAACAGTTTCTCTTCATCTCTCCCTCCTGTCCTCCCTTCCCCCCCCCCCCCAACCCTGGGAAAGAGAAAATTCTCAGGAATGAAGACTTCTCTGAGAAGTTGTGTGCAAATGTATTCATGTTTGACAGCTGAGTTCTAATAAGTATAAACAATATAGGTCATAGTAATGCTACGCAGCAAATTCTGGCAGAGGAAAACTTGGCAGCTGACTAAACTGTAAATTGGAGGATTGAACATTCAAAATTCATATTGGAGAGGCCTGGTCTCAAGTAATTTTATTCTTCATGTATTCATTCCCAAGCCCTTTACAAATATTACATAGACATTTATAGCTACTGACTAGAAAATATTTCAGAATAAAGTCTGGCTATTCCAGCTATGTGCAGAAAGTTTTAAAACATACATATGGGCCAATAGTGGAGACAGCATTCCAAATCTGACCTATTGCAGCAACGGTTTTTAACATTCCTATCCTGTGAGTATGATAAAGGCCAAGAGACTTCACTTTTCCTCTGCCACTCTGAGAAATCTTCATTAGCTGGATTGTGTTGAGTGGTAGTTGCAGAGTTGGTTCAGACTGCCTCTGCTTGAAGATAACAGCGTATTTTACACTGAGGAAAAAATATAGCACAGAACCTCTGATCCAGATACCCAGGTTATTGGATCCCAATCTGAACTTTCATAAACTTTGATTCATGCCCACTATTGTCAAGCTATTTCCACATATAGTACAAGTCTAAAATCCACACAAATAGACTGGAAAGTAGCAAGGGGCTGGGAAATACTGAACCCATGATGCTAACCCTGAGTGAGCTACTTTAAAAGGCTCCCCATCTTGACTAATGCCATGGGAAATATGAAAATAATTATTCTAAAACCTTTCCTTCTGGTCCTCCCAGGACAAAGTGGCAATAAACATGGACTGTATTCATTAGGGAAGAAAAGCTATGGGTGGGGATTTTTAGGTGTGCTGGTGCTGACCCCCAGTTCTGCACTCAGCTGTTGCTTCTGGGTGTTGTGGGGCCTTAGATCTGCTTGTGAGAGGAAACCAGGGCCTTCAGAGCTAGAGCTTGGCAAAGAAACGTCCTCACTCCCTTCCTCCTAAACTTGTTCCTTTTGTTTTTTTTTCTCCTAATCGCCCTAGAATCTGACGAGTGCTGATTAATCAACAAGGGAAAACCCTGTCCTTCTAACTTTCCCTCTTTCTTGCAGTTCCACTGGCTGGGATTTCTGTCTTTCATGCCTTTGGGTTGTAAATTTGCCTTATGTACTACTACTTCTGGCCAGGTCTGCACCTCTTTTCCACATTATCCATCAGACCTTGCATCCCCAACAGTCTTGAGAATTGTCACTGTTGCACAATACGCCCATATTGCTATCTAATCATTGTACAGAAGAGATGTGATCTCTTACTATATTCTTAACAAATGAATCTCTGTGGGATTCTATAGAACTTTTGTACAGTTATGAGACTTACTATTCGTGCATGCTATCCTATTATACAGCTATAGTTTGACGCTCTAGTGTACTTGGCATAGCTATTTGCAGTGCTACACTATATATTTACTTTAAGAACAGTTTTAAAAGTCAGCTTTTTTCCTAGAAACAAACCAAATATGTCTTAATGCACTCTGTGGCATTACTAGCTTGTAATTAGTAGTGGATGGATCATTACTATCATCCATCTACTATAAGCAAATTATATGCCACTCTTGCCTACTCAGAACTCTTGTTTTATCTGCTGGGATAGAATGCTAGTTGGCATTTCATAATTGAATACAACTGAATCGTTCCTTGGCACCTGCTGGAGACTAAGGCCTTGACTGCGTTTAAAAGTTAGGTCGGCATAGCTACAGCACTTCACTCCTGAGTGTTACAGCTGTGCCAACCTAATCCCAGTGCAGACAGAGCTAGGCTGACAGAAGATTGCTTTTGTGGACCTAACTACAGTCGCTCATGGAGGTGGAGTTCTACAGTGACCGAAAAAGTCCCTCCCTTCACTGTCGGAAGTGTCTGCACTATGGTGCTACAGAGGCATATTTACTGTAGCCCCCTTAGTCTAGACAAGGCCTAATATTGGTACATTCTGTATTGCATGCTTGAGCTTCAGGTATACACTATAGTCTTGCTCTTCAAAATATGTTGTAAGTATGCCACTGATTCTTTCAAGGCCCCAGTAAAAAAAGACTGATTTACAGTTCAGTTTAATGCAGAGAGCTGTTTGGTTTTCTCCCCACCCCCCGCCATTCCTACTTTTCTTTAGTTTAAAGGGATGTCTGCACTATGGAGGCTATACCAGCATAGCTCTGTTGTATAGAAGCAGCCTACGCTGACAGAAGGGGTTTTTGTCAGTGCAGGAATGCCACCTCCCCAAACGAAATTAGCATTTTTGATGGAACCCGTCTTCCATTGACAAAGCTATGCTGACAAATCCCCCAATGTAGATGCAGATATTTTGGTCAGGGATGTGGGGTTTTTCACACCCCTGACTGACATAACTATGACAATATAACTTTTCAGTATAGACCAAGCCTAAGACTCCAGGTGTGGCCTGAGATACGTTGTTAAGCCGACCTAAGCCCCGGTAGAGACACCTCTAGGTCAATGGAAGAATTCTTCCGTCAACCTAGCTCCTGCCTCTCGAAGCGGTGGATTTACTACAGCAATGGAAAAACCCCTTCTGTCACTGTAGCAAGTGTCTGCACTACAGCAGTGTAGCTATAGCGCTTGTAGTATAGACGTACTTGCTACCACCACTCAACCCTGCTTCATTGAAATCAATGGCAAAAAGTCCCATTGGTTACAGCAGTGGGAGAATTTCATCCAAGGTGTCCACGCAGGCCCCTGAAGGCCAAATCTCTAGACAAACAAGAGATGAGGGCACTCAATGAATCACAATATTGAACCCTTATTTATAGTTGTTTATTTATTTTAAAAGTGCTTTGCAAATGGCCAATTATTTCTACAACACTTCATGAATATAATAAGTATCCCAATTTACTAGTTTTGGGTACACTGCTTCTTGCTAGTTTCTCTAAGGGGACAAATTCTGATTCAAAGGTAGGAGTCTAACTCAATAATTCCTGGTTCCAAGTCTTGTGCTCAGACTCACATCTCTAATGTTGAATCAACAAAAAACCTATTCAGACATATACTGTGTATAAAATAAACATCTCATAATAATATTGTGGCAGACCTCAGATATTATCAGAATATAAAGCTGTAAATATTTACTAGGTAGGACAAGTTTGTTGCTGTGACAGCATAGGTTTCTTTCCTGCAACCTGCCAATATTTCCTGGCAACTAAGCTCCAGGGTATTTTTAAAGTTAAAATTAAACAGAATACTTTGGGCAAGATAAATGTGATTTACCAGGCTAGAACAAGTGCTAATGAAAGAGAGCTTCTTAGCTTGCAAATCTGCATTCTGCTGGCTGCAATATGCTATAGGCCTTTATTATACAGTGCTTGATTGGCAGCATTGGTAGGTTGTCACAGAAACCAAACATTCTTGCTAACAATGCAACAGGAAGGGCTATTTAGCTATGAGTTCTCTTCCTTCTTCAGTCCTACAGCACGGGGATCCTATAAGATCTCGACCTCAGACTTTCATACAGAAACATCATTCGCTTAACTTGCTTTCGGAGCTTAATACCAAGATGGGCTGCAATACCAGCAAGAGTACAACAGCGGTGGAATCTGCTCAGAAGCCAGGAGAACAACCTGAGAGGGAAGATAAAAATGAGGACACAGGTGCTGAAACAACTGCAAATGACCTCCATAACTCATCTGTTAAGGATGGTGTTTCTGATATAACAAGCTGAAATTGGAAACTACTGCTCCACACACAGAACGTAACTATGAAGTATACAATTTATTTACTGATGTTTCTGGCTGGAGCACACAGATTCTGTCATCTTATTTCTCTACAAACTGAGGGGTCAATGGAGGGGGATGGGGGAAGAGGATTTCTTCTGGATAAAATCTTTCATAAAGAATCTCAAGGAATCTTCCTGGAAATACCCACTGTACATCACTAATGGATGTAAAATTCTGTCATCTAACTAGACTAAATACTGAGAAAATAGAGAGAGAGCTCTTCCCTCGTGAATACTCAAGGAAAACTGCATACTTCTCTGGGATAGGAACTAATCAACAATCAATGCCACTTTCTGGAGACTGGCAGGTCTGAAGCGAATTCACTTTGACATCAATAGACTCTAGCTGATCGAAACCATTCCACGCTCAAATCCTGTGTTTATGAAATAGCTTCTGTTTCACATGACTATTTTCAGTTTAAATAGCAATTTTACTAGTTTATAATATGCCTGTATTGTACGTGAAACAATGCATCTGATTTTATTTGAAAAAATTCAGACATAATATCTTGGAAATGTTAACTAATTCATGACATTTCACAAAACTCTAGCATAGTATTTTGTGGATTTTATGAAATCTTAATCACATTTCAAAACAATAACGATTTATCAAGCTGGAACATGCGGCTATTTACAGTTCATTTTTATAACTATGATGGAATCTGATTCTGCTTTCACTATTTAAAAAAAATTGAGTATAATTTTGTAATCTCCTGCATTTGAACGCTTTTCTATATTTGAAATGCATACCAAATTCACAAAACTTTATTTGTGTTTTTCAACAAGACTGTGTAACTACAGAAGAAAAGCTATTTCCATCCAGGTTAACTATGTCTATATTTGCCCGAGGGGGAAGGATGACAGTTAAAATTCATCTACTAGATGATAAAATAGCATATTGTAGTTCCTTCAGTTCTTTAGCACTTGTACTGTAACTATGTTAACTTGAGTAACATGATTTTTTTTCTTTTATAGTAACCTTTAGACAAATTTTCCTCTTCTGTTCAGGAATTGTCCATAAACCTACAGTTTTCTTCTTCATAATTTGAAATCAAATTCTTGAGAAAAATTCTTGGTCTGTGGATCAGTTGTGAGCTGTTCATGTATTCGGTACCTGAAATGAAATTTGTTTTGGCTGGGCATGTAAAGGTACTTGTAAGATTCCTTTCTGTTGTGTGGAGGGGTGTAACTCAGGCTCAAATCAGTTTTTTATTTTAAGGATTCAGGATGTATATTCTGTAATATTTGCATGAAATTCAAGAATGTATATAAGTACAGTCCAGTCATTCAATAGTTAAACAATGTTTTCAGCAGAAATTCTATCTAAAGCCTTTGTAACCCAACCCAGCAGAATTGGGATAACAGATTTTTGATTGTACTCTGAAAAATTCATACACCTATGCATCTGGATGACTACTTCTGTGATGATAGTAGGCCTTCACTTTGTTCCTTGATTGCTATGTATATCTGTAATGCTAATAACTCAAGAACAAAAATCTAGTAAAAGGTGACTTGCTTATATAAACACTTTTTATTTTAAAAGTTGTATGGGGGGACATAATCATTCGTTTCAGAGCTGAATCTAAATTTCATTTCATTTAATGGTAACTCCAAAAATTGGTAAGATAAGCTTTGTCTACTACTTTGTTTGAACATTTCTAAGCAGCCAAAGAAATTAATCCTTCAATTTCTTGAAAGACATTATTGGGCAGTGAGGAAATCTAGCTTTCTGGTGATCCTGAACAAATTCCAGGTTGGAGTGGGATTTGCACACCAAATTTTAGTCCATTGCAAATGAAGAAATCTTTGAACACTCAGAAGAGTGCTTGGCTACTTGCTGTTTTAAACATTCAAAGGCCAGCACTAAGGTTTGAAAAATATTGATATCTCAATTTGGAACATCATTTGAAGAGATTCAACTGCAGTGTCCTTTAGTAATGAAATATCTCAGTTGGGAGAGTCAAAGCTCCGATAGAAGTGTGTGTGTGTGTGTGTGTTTCTCATTCTGAAGGGGCATGTACTCTCTGTAAGAGTGAATAGCAAGTGGCATAAGCCCTGCAACATATGGAGGTAGAAAACAAATGGAGTAAAAAATGCTTAGGGTACTGAATTTAAAATGATCTATTGTTTTACTTTGCAGTAGTAATATTGTCCTAAAGATTAGATTTCTGTCTTGATCTAATAGCCCCATCTGGCCTTAAAATCTATGATTTGTGTTTTGAAACTGATCTCCCCTTTGCTGGTTTACACCAGTGTAACTTCATTTGACTCCTAGTTTTACCTGATATTAAGCAGGGGAAGAATTGGACCACATGGGTGACTTACGCAAGTTGGTAACCTGCAGTCATTGAAAGACCATGCTATGTACTATCAAACATTGAGGCCCAAAATGCTCTTATTTACCACAGTATTAAGTCCAGTCTTACACACACTGGCATGGTTGCACTGTAGTCACTTTCATAAAGCTGGTGAAGTGGAGGAGGTCAGGTCCATTGTTTTGTGCTATGTAAAAGTGGATTAGCTCTAGATTTTAAGCAAGTCCTGCCTGAGTTGTTTTTTACATTGGTGCAAACATGGTGCATGATTCTCTGGTGAGAGCATGAGCTGCTTTGCACATGAATTCTTTGAGGGAGAAAAATATTATTTTACACTCTATTCTTAAAGGATGGGAAATAAAGCTTTCTCAATCAGAAATAGTGCAAGGAAAGAAACTTTTTTCCCCAAAAACATCAAATTATTTTCTGCTGAAAACCTTTTTATTTTTTAATTAATGTTATGCTGAGTAATCAAGTCCATTAAAAGATGCAAAAGGGAGGGGTGAATTAGTAAAGTTTAAGATCTCTGCCAAGTATTTCATGCTAGCAACAGACAGTTCTTCCCCCTTCTGCTCTGGTGCTGGTGGCAAACAGTAATGAAATAGAGGCATTCTGGATTCCAAATAACTTCAAAGTTTCTAGACCAGCTGCTAACTTTCTGAAATCATGTTGATAAATGTGGACTAATCCTACAGGCTTCACTTAAGCAAAATCCCCCTTTGCCTTTTAGTTAAAGTTACAGGTACTCGACTGAGTAGAGACTGCAAAGTTAGGCATATAGATTTTATGTTGGTATCCTTTCTGATAGAAATTGAATTTTTTTGCCATGAGCGGAGAATACCCAAAATGCATGGAAATGTGTGCAAGTTCTTTCAAGCTTATCAGTAGATTCTTTCTCAACCCCCCACCAGTGCCATGCAAGCTCTAACATGCCTCAAGTTAAAAGTTAACTTTAATCCACCAGGTTTCTTACACAACACTCAGAGGCTACAAAATATTAACCCTTTTGAGTTAAACCACAAACAGGAGCAATTCTGTTCTTAATTTGCTTCAATGCTATAAGATCTCATTTAAATAATACCCATGAATGGCAATATTATTAAAACATCCATGATTTGTTTGATTCCTATTGTATCAAGTTATGTAACTGACAGATCTAACCCTAAAAATTCAGATTGGAGAGTGCTTGGGTCAAATCTGTTTCACTGGTGATATAAGGGGTACTGTCATAACATATAAAGAAGCACCCAAACTAACTTGGGTTAATTCTCTATCATCTGAAATAGAGAAACTTCTGGGCATTGGCAAAGTGGCCTCAGGGTTATCGGTAGCTGCTATTCATATTCTAATGGTGTGCATAGCACATGAACTTACAAACCTGGGAGGGGAGGCTTGGTAAACATAAGCCTGAGTAGTTGATGAAGGGGTAGGTTCACATAGTTAGCACCAGGAGCTAATCTTTTATGTCAGGGTTTGATATAGTGGAGAAGGGTCCATGTATAGCTGCTGATGGGTAAAGTATTCATCGTAACTGCATTTCTACCTCCAACAAGTTTGCCCCTACCCCAAAAATGCATTAAACTTTGGTTGTGACGCAGTTATAGTTGGTACACATGCACTATAGCTGACACAAATCCACACAAAAATGAGATATACTATTAAGTGGCTTAAACATTTTATATACCCTCTACTCCTTCATTCAGAAGCATGGACCTACCCATGACTGCCTAGGAAGAAGTACTGCAGAAAGGGATGTGGGGGTCATAGTGTCATCACAAGCTAAATGTGAGTCAACGGTGTAACACTGATGTAAAAAAAGCAAACATTCTGGGATGTATTAGCAGGAGTGTTGTAAGCAAGATACAAGAGGAACAAAAATGATTAAAGGTCTAGAAAACATGATCTATAAGGGAAAATTGGGGGAAAATTGGGGTTGTTTAGTCTCGAGAAGACAAGATTCAGGGGATATAAATTTTTAAATACATAAAACATTGTTACAAGGAGGAAGGAGAAAAATTGTTCTCTTTTAACCGCTGAGGATAGGATACAAAGCAATGGGCTTAAATTGCAGCAAGGACAGATTAGGTTGGACATTAAGAAAAACTTCCTAACTGTCAGGGTAGTTAATCACAGGAATAAATTGCTTAGGGAGCTTGTGGAATCTCTGTCACTGGAGATTTTTAAGAGTGGGTTTGACAAACAACTGTCAGAGTTGGTCTGGGTAATACTTAGCCCTGCCTAGAGTGCAGGGGACTGGACTAGAAGATCTCTCAAGGTCCCTTCCAGTCAGGGGTGAATAACTTAAAGGACTTACTAGTATGCACAAAGGCTGGGGTCCTGGGCAAGGTTGGGGGGCGGGGAGGGGGGCTCAGGCAGAAGGGGTGGGGTTAGGGCCAGACTCCACCAGTCATCCCTTCAGCGCTGCCCAGCTCCGGCCACTGCTGGGAGCCCCAGGCCTTTAAAATTGCTGGGCCCAGGGCAGCTGCCCCTTTTGCCCACACCATCAGTGGCCCAGCCGGCAGCGCTTTAACGTCGACTGTGTACTGGCCTGTACCGGCAGCCACTTTCTTACTGGTACGCTGTACGGGCTTGCTTTCACCTCTGCTTCTAGTCCTATGATTCTCTGATTACCACTGTGAGCGCATGTTATAGACAACAAGCCTCAATCTTAACGTCTGCTTACCCTCTCCTCCTATTCTGCCAGAATGCCAACCTTTCACCCCTCTTCTACATGCAATCCTTTATCAAAATATCCCTCCCAACACAGCCAACTATTAAATCAAATGTCCACAACTATGAGTGGGGGCAGTATAATCTTGCAGTGGAGGGTAAGAATTAAGATTAATATGTGGGCTACAGTATATAATAGTTGAAGGTGTGTGTGTGCGTGAGTGGAGAAGTAGAAGGTATGGTCTGTTATGTGGCTTAACTTCATTACCTTGCTGTTCTGGGTCCATGTCAGATGTATGTAGCAACTCAAACTGTTACAAAATAATTTATTGTGAATCTTAATTGAAGTAGATTTTTAATTAGATGGAAAAATAGATATTGTGGATGATCCACTTTGTTTGGTCCTGGTTACAATTAACTTGAAGTATAGGACCACTTTTGAACTGATGCAGTAAATCCTGTCCCCTAGGGGCAACATTTTAATATTTTACTGCTAGATTAACTTTTAAACCATTTTAAAATCAGGGGTAGTATAGTCATACCCAGCGTAATTAGCAGTATGCTGACCGAGGGCTTGATTCAACTTCCCCTTAATAAACCTGATTTACTTTTTTTTTTTTTTTCCCTTGGATCAGGCCTTTGCTAAGCAGAAAGATAACTTGTAAAATATATCAAGCTTGGAAAATTTAAAGCCACTAGAACTGCAGAGTTGAATTCTTTCACAATAGGAATGTGAATTTTACTCTTCATTTGTTTGGGTACTTTAGGTAACATCATCACAGGGTATCTAAGCACCTCTCCCAGTATTGATAGTGACTCCTCACAACATTCCTGCAAATGAAGAAATACTGTCCCCATTTTACTAATGGGGAACAGAGGCACATAGAGATTAAATGGCTTTCCCAAGCTCCCCTAAGAAGCCTCTGACAGAATTAGGATTTAAATTCTGATTTCCTGAATTCCAATCCAGTGCCTTAAGAATATTATGTTTATATACCTCCTCAAATGTTCCACACTCTTATTCACAGTGAGCACATTACTTGATCTCCTGAAACAGGCTGCCTTGATGGTTCATGGCATTAGTAATACTACGTCACAAATTCAAATTCAATCCAAGTTACCAGTGATCACCTGAAAGTTGTCTGGTGTCGGTCTAATTTCTACTGGAAGGATAGCCTCACCTCAGACTTTCCTTTGCTAGTGATACTGATTTGTGCCCTTATTCACAGTCTTCACAGAGTGTCTGAGGGCTGCATAGGTGTTCCAAGCTCTTACACACTTTTACTCTTTTGGGTGGTTGCCTGAGGGAATGGATGAAGAGGATGGCAGTAGTTGTGCAAGCTCTTCTAAGATAAAACTTTTCTGTAGATAAATATGACCGCAGTCACCTGTGCTGTCAGCCTAGCATCTTTCTTAAGCACAAAGTCACACAGGCAAAAATAAAATAGTTATTAAATTAACTGCATCGTTACAGTGCACCTTGAGATGAAAATATTCTGTATATAAATCATTCATTGCATTTACACGCCACTATTTACCT